TCAAAATCGGTGAGGGACAGTTCTGTCAGGTCCCTTGTTAGTCGTGCAAGATTTATTTTATGGTTAAGCTTTAATTAGCTTTAATTTAAAACTTAAGAATTTAAATACAATTGAAATAATAAATATAACTTTAAGAATAAACTTTAAGCTAACCATAAAATAAATTTTCTTAAAAATCTTCTTTCGTGGAATTTTTTATTTAAGATCGAGAATTATAAGAAAACTTAATGGGACATTCTACTTTCTCGGTTCAAAAATAAAATAATTTTTTTATTGTCTCATTCGAAAGTATATACTTTCGAGAATATGCCCCTAAATTTTTAACGAGAAATTCCCAATATTTGCAAAGTTATAAGCCTCATAGCCGATAAGTTTTCTTATAATTCTCGATCTTAAATAAAAAATTCCACGAAAGAAGATTTTTAAGAAAATTTATTTTATGGTTAGCTTAAAGTTTATTCTTAAAGTTATATTTATTATTTCAATTGTATTTAAATTCTTAAGTTTTAAATTAAAGCTAATTAAAGCTTAACCATAAAATAAATCTTGCACGACTAACAAGAGACGTGACAGAACTGTCCCTCACCGATTTTGATGTTTTGAATATTGAATAGCCGACCCACCTCTCGCAAGTAGAAGCGTGCCGCTCCCCTCTCTCGGCGCACTTCTATTATATCTAGTCTCAACCGTCTGCTGTATTATTATTGTAAAAAATACGAATAAGAAATGTTTGCTATTGTACACAATACAACAAACTTATGTATGTAAACTTATGCAAATTATAAATCTTCCTTCAAGAAAGTTAAAAAAATTCGTTTTGCTGTAGAGTATTCAGTTTTCAAACAGTTTTCGAAAGAGATAAATCGTTTGAAAATGGATCGAAAACACGGTAAAGTCAGCGAATCAAGACCCAGCCGTTCTCAAAAAAGAAAATTTGCCGGAAATCAGCACACAAATGAACTCAGTTTGGAGTCTGCAAGTACGTCGGCGAGAAAATAAAAGAATGTGTAGATTTGGGTGTAAATATTGATCCGAATATGAATTATTGTATGTTACAATTTACTCTTGTTTTCACCGCATTACAAGAAATATTGAAGTGTAAAAATTGTAATAGTGATGTGAAATTTTACAAATGTGACGAACGAGGATTAAGTTTTAAAATAAGTGTCGTATGCTCGTGTAATAAAGATATTTTTATTGATTCCTGCCAAAAAAATTGCGAAAGCCTATGAGATTAATAGATAATTCATTTTCGCTATGAGACTAATCGGCGTTGGTTTGCAAGGAATAAATAATTTTAGCGGACTTATAGATTTGAAAGCAGGCTTCAATATCAACACCTACTATAAGTGTATAGATTACATAAAAGTAGCAGTTGACTGTTTTTAGAATCGTTCTTAATAAAGCTGCAGGTGAAGAAAAAAAAAAAAAACAAAGGGAATATTGAAAATGAATTGTCTGTATCGGGAAGCGAATCTTGGTCAAAGTGTGGCTTTACCTCTCTGTTGGGCATCGTTTCTCTCATCGGAAAGTACAGTAACAAAATTCTAGATGTAGTTGTAAAATCAAGCTTTTGCAAGGCCTGTGCTATGTGGAAAGGTAATACAAATATGATCGAATATGCAGCATTTTATGCACACAAGGAAAATTGTATGGCAAATCATGAAGGAAGCGCCGGGAAAATGGAGGTGGATGGTATGCTTGAAATGTTTCAACGTTCGGAAGACTTACATGATGCAAGATATCGGTATTACATTGGAGATGGTGACACAAAAAACCTTCAAAGCTTTATTAGACAAACAGCCTTATGGAGGAGAATTTATTGTTAAAAAAAAGAATGTGTTTTACATCAAAAAAAGAATGTATAGAAGAGCGAAAGAAGTTAAAAAAATTACTAACTCAACAAAATAAGCAAAAACAAAAGGATGCACAAGCAAGTACGAAAAGAAAATCAGAGTCTAAAAAAGTGCAGTTAACAAATAAATTGATGCAGGATTTATTGTTATACTACGGCTTGGCAATACGTCGTCACACAAACTTTATTCAAAATATGAAAAAAGAAATTTGGGCGACTTTTTTCCACAAAATTTCGACGGACGAAGAGCCGCAACATTCGCACTGCCCTGCCAACGCTGACTTTTGGTGTAAATGGCGACAACATGCGGGTATTTTGTGTGATTTCACACATTCATTTCCATTATATGATGACGTTCAAAAAGTGCTAAGGCCCATTTATGAAGAATTAACGGTAGACGAACTTTTGGAATGGTGTTTAGGAAACAACACGCAAAACAACAACGAAAGTTTCAACGCGTGAGTGTGGCATTTAGTTCCTAAACACATTTTTATTGGCCGAAAAATACTGCAAATAACTGCATATACGTCCGCATGTGTATTCAATGAAGGCTTTTGAATTCTTTTGAGAATAATGAAAGTGATGAGAATTACAATTGGACCCGCAGCCGTTCAACTTGCGCACAAGCAGGACGGCCAGCGCATCGGGCAAACCAACCGTCGCAGCACTGACGCCTCTAAGAAAAACAAAATAGCTCACAGGGAAGAGAGAGCCTTTGAGAACGAAGCCTACGAAGAGTATGAAGGCATTTTATATGCAGCAGGCATAATTGATTTGACGTAAGTAGCTTTTATATACAAAAGTTCGATACGAAAAACTTTAAACGCGTTTTTCTCAAAACCACTTTTTTTTACCTGGCGAGCACGATTCCAAAAAAACTATTTGATCAATCGGAATGAAATTTTAACATATTATTCTATATACCAGTGACTATTGCATGAACCACGGGCGTGTTAATTAATCAATATTTTCCCATTTTTCATCATAAAAAGGTGCCATTTTCTCGTATCTAATGTTTGAAAGTCTGCCATTTTAAAATTTTTCACGCAAATTCTTTCTCCGTGGTTCATGCAATAGTGGTTCATATACAAATTAAGATTCTTCTTGTATTTTTTTTACAAATTATTCTAACGACCGCAATCACGTCCGCCAGCGAGCATGAAATGTTTGAAGGCGCTTCCGTAATCGAGAAAAACTCGTATAAATAAACTTATTTAAAAATATGAAAACAATTTTTTTGTCTAATTTAAGGATACAATATATTTTTTGTCTAATTTAAGGATACAATATATTGCCAAAGTTTCAAATTGCTGCGTTATTATTTTCTCATAAAAAAAAAAAATTCTTGAAAATAAGCAAAATTTTTCGATGAGAAAGTAGAATGTCTCCTTAAAAGTTTAATGTTACCTTAGAATTACCCAAAATTTATTACTTTAAAATTACTTTTTCATTCCTTTAAAATACTTAAACACTGTTTTAAAGTCAATCTGGAAATACTTAAAAATTTCTTAGATTAGATAATTTCTTAGATTAGATGTGATATCAAAAATTTAAAAAAATTTTTTAAAAATTACTTTAAAAAAAAAGTATAAAAGAGAATCTAAACGCGTGTGCGTTAGCATTATTTGTCTTTACAAAAAAAGATCGTTATAAATAAATTGCAACAAAAGCTCAGCTAAAAAATATTTAAAAAAATATTATTAAAACAACCATATTCAGATCAATTGTATTCTCGCAAATATATTGAAAAATACAAAACAATTTTATATTTTTTACTAAAATAATTATTACGGAATTAACTCCTGTGTGTTTGACTGTATGTGGAGGGTTTCTTGCGTTAATAATTGATATCCTTTATTCCTCCTTTTCTGCCGAGATACAACCACTTACTACTACTATTTTTACGCATGCGCAACTCTCCTGCTTGGTAGCACCTCATCAACGCCACCACCTCAGAGACACCGCATCAGCGACACTGCCTCAGCGCCACTGCATCTTTCCGTGCTACTACACCTCTAAGTGCTCTTACATTTAGGCGCCAATCTTAAACTAAACGATAAACTTAAAATACAAACACAAAGGGTTTTACTATCTTAACATGCCGCCCGCCTTGACAAATAGGAATATTTTGAATAACTATATAAAAAATGCTCCCTTGGACTGATTTCAATGCTACCTGAACATAACAAGCAGAACTTAATTTTCACATATTGGAGAGATGTTTACAATCGCTCTTTTATAAATACCCTTAGAAGTTCGCAAGGTAACCGTCCTAACCACTCCGTTTTACCGGGATGTATTTTTTTGATTCTAACTAAAATCCACTGGAGAGGTAGAGTTTCGGTATCCTTCAACATGACCAATTGTCCAATCTTAAATTTAGCGTGGCTTTCCGTTTTCCATTTATTTCGCTGCTGACAAATAGATAAGTACTCCTTCTGCCACCGGGACCATAAATGTTGTCTCAGCTGTTCGACGTATTGCCATCTTGATAGTGTATTTCTTGGTACCTCCTCTAGACTCAATTCTGGATAGGATTGCAGGTTTTCTCCTATCAAAAATGACCAGAAGTTAAAGCTCTCAAGTTATCCGGATCTTCCGAAAGTGGCGTCAGAGGCCGCGAGTTCAACATTGCTTCTATTTGCGTCAAGATAGTCGACATCTCTGAGACCGTAAGACAACTTTCACCAATCGTTCGTTTGAGGTGTAACTTCATTGCTCTTACTGCGGCTTCCCAAATACCGCCATAATGTGGAGATCTAGGCGGGATGAAATGCCAGTTTACCCGCTCGTCCACTGCAAACTGTTATACCGCTTCTTGGAACTTGGTTTCTTGAAACATCTGCTGTAACACGCGATCCGCGCCCACGAAATTTTTTCCATTGTCCGAATATATATTTTTTATCTTGCCTCTTCGAGCTATGACTCGTTTCAACGCGGCTATGAATGATTCGGTGGTTAAGTCCTCCACTAACTCTATGTGCACGGCTTTGGTTACCATGCACACAAATATGGCCACGTACGACTTATATTTTTTGCTATTTTTTCGATCTCTTATATAGAAAGGTCCGCAGTAGTCGACACCTGAATTGCTGAAGGGTCTAGCTATGTTGACCCTTACTGATAGTAACTCGCCCATTATTTGTCAACTGGGTTTGGGACTTGCCTTCCGACATTTCACACAATTGCGTAAAATTTCCTTAACTCGGCTCCTAGCAAATATAGGCCAGAATTCTTCCCTTATAGAATTCGTCGTCGCTTGGGCTCCCGCGTGGAGCAGTTTCTCGTGATAGTGTAAGATTATCAATGAGGTGAAATAATGTGAGACTGGTAGTAGGACGAGATGTTTAACTTCTTCAGGTAGTACTGCATGCTTTAACCTTCCTCCTACTCTCAATACTTCTTCTTCGTCAAGATATGGACACAGTGCAATCAGTCTTGAAGTGCGAAGAATCGCGTTATTTCTCAACGCCTTTATTTCTTCTTCAAATACTTCAGCTTGCACTAATTTAACTATCACACATTTTGCCTTGTTAATTTCGACATTGGTTATCGGCCCTAACTCTCGCTTCACTGTTTTACATTTAACATTTACACTAAATCTTAATACATATGCTGTCACTCTTAATAGCTTATTGAAAGAAGAGAATCGCTTATAGTCTATAATCGGTCTCTCAGTTATAGCCGCTGCTATCACTACTTTCTTTCGTTCTTCCGGAGCGTTAATTGATAATTCCTCATCCTCTTTTGGCCAGCTATTCTCATTTTCTTTTAACCATTTAGGTCCCTCCCACCATTCGTTTGCGTGAATTAACTGTTCCGGAGTAGTCAGGAGTTGTGGCATCTGGGTCTGGATTGGGACGAATCAGTCCCTATGCACATCCATAGAACCTGGGAGCAAATAAAATCAACTATAGGTTTGTTGAATTCCTTAAAAATACCGAGATTAATATCATTAGGGGAGGCCAACACACACACACAACTCAGATTCAGATACACGGGTTTTGCGATGCCAGTGAGAAGGCGTATGGAGCTTGCATGTATGTCTCGATATCAAGTCCGCCGGATTGTTCTTGGACCTTATATGCCGCCATTCTGAGGGTGAAGATTTATCGTGAATTTCACCTACTCTATTGGCTACGAAAGCTTGCCTTCTTCTAGAAGGAGAGCCTATCCACGTCAATACTATCTTGGAATCCGTCCAATAAAGCCCTTTGTATACTCTTAACTTTAGACTACTTATCACGCGTTCCATTAAGTTGACTAATAACACCGCCCCGCATAACTCTAATCTAGGCAACGATATGCTTTTCATAGGTGCTACTCTTGACTTGGAACAAACTAAGGATACGAATATTTCGCCTTGCTGATTTTGTTCCCGTACATACACGCAAGCTCCATACGCCTTCTCACTGGCGTCGCAAAACCCGTGTATCTGAATCTGAGTGTGTGTGTTGGCCTCCCCTAATGATATTAATCTCGGTATTTTTAAGGAATTCAACAAACCTATAGTTGATTTTATTTGCTCCCAGGTTCTATGGATGTGCATAGGGACTGATTCGTCCCAATCCAGACCCAGATGCCACAACTCCTGACTACTCCGGAACAGTTAATTCACGCAAACGAATGGTGGGAGGGACCTAAATGGTTAAAAGAAAATGAGAATAGCTGGCCAAAAGAGGATGAGGAATTATCAATTAACGCTCCGGAAGAACGAAAGAAA